GGAGTCTCCAGCAACGCCAAGATCCTCCTGGTCATCGATGACCAGCAGACCGACTGGTAAGGACAGTGAGCATCGGCGCAGCCGCAGTGCCGCATCAAGATAAGACAGAAGTGTGACCAAAAGGTCATTTGGTTGAACAATGGCCCGTTTGCTGGTGCAAATGCAGTATGACGTTTGTGAGATAATCAGAGCTCCTGCCATAAAACGACTAAAACCGTCAGTCCTAATATTTGACAAGATTTAGGCTAAAACCACAACTTTACAGAATCACGTGAATCCCTCAACCTCCCACTGACGGACAGGTTTAGGCTGCAATATTGATAACCCACCACAGGGAGGCGTTACAGAGTCGTAGACGTACCTTCGTCAGTCTCCTGTCGTTTGTGCTGTAATTTCACAGGAAAGTCATTACAAGAATGATGACGTTGTCTCTGCTGCGTCATAGCATCACTACGTCCACCTGTCTGTATACGTCATGAGGTCACAGACTGACCTGAGGCCGAGACCTTCATGTCACCGTGGCTGACTTCACAGAAGGAGGGATTTTATTTCACTAATGTCTGCTTCTTATTTCCCTGTTTGTTCATGAGGCAGGTGCACGCTCACAACGCTCTAGAAATGTCCAGAAATAACAGCTGACTTCTCTGCTTCACATCCAGGGTGAAGGTGTTCAGAGGCAGAAAGATCCAGGGTGAATATGACCTGAAGGTGGAGCAGGTGAGTTCTCCAGAGGAAGGACAGGAAATGAAGACGACATTTATGTTGAGACCTTGTGGGTGACGTCCGTCCACGTTTCCACTTCACGCTCTTCATCACTCCAGGCCTTGCTGTTATTCACTCCCAGATTTAACAGAAACACCTTTGGCATGAATCGGCTTTTTTTTTGACAAATCGAAGATTTTTTGACCGTTATAATTTGATAATGAATTTGTTCTGGCTTTGTTCTTTTTCTGACAGCGGTCTGTTTCAGCTTCTACCTTGAAATGATCTACATTCAACCAATGAAGGCTTGTGTTTGTGTCTAAATTGACTTTTGTTTTTTCAGGCTGAATTCTCTGAGATTAGCCTGGTGGCTAATGCTACCGGCACGTACAATGTGAACATTGATGCAATAAGGAACGCACATAGAGTCACTAAGTAAGTCTGTTGGCAGAACACGTAACAGCTCTGATCACATGATGTACTGACAGCGGTTCATTCGATGACCTGACCTGATGACCTGATGACCCCTGTCCCCAGGTCCTTTAAGCCCGACTTTGTGCTGATCAGACAACATGCCTTCAGTATGGACCAAAATGGAGACCACAGAAACATAGTGATCGGGCTTCAGTACGCTGGACTTCCCAGTGTCAACTCTCTGCACTCTGTCTACAACTTCTGTGATAAACCATGGGTGGTAAGAAACACTTGGCTGTTGACCCTAACGCTAACTCTAAAAACCTGGACCACTACTTCAATCAATGTGGACCACATCTACTCCAGGGCCTTGACAGGTTTGTCGTCTCGTTTCTTCCAGTTTGCCCAGATGTCTCGGGTGTGTAAACAGCTGGGTTCAGAAGAGTTCCCTCTGATCGAGCAGGTTTATTATCCCAATCACAAGGAGATGGTGAGTTCTTCTTCTCTGGTTCTTTGTCAACAAGCCTCCCTCACAGTCTACATGGGTCACATCCTTCACCATGTTGTTGACACCCACCTAGTCTAAAGGGGAGTGGTCTGTGGTCTGGACGTCCCACCTAGTCTAAAGGGGAGTGGCCTGTGGCCTGTGGTCTGTGGTCTGGACGGAGGCAGGATGTTTGACCATTAAAGTGGATCAGTAAACATAAATAAACATATCTAAACATATATAAACATAAATAAACATATCTAAACATATATAAACATATCTAAACATATAGTCCTTTTGAGATCTACCAACAGAAGAAATCAAAAGTTCTAGGATCTCTGTTTCTCCTCCACGTCTCAGTCTGCTCTCTTCTTCTTCACTGGTGTTCACATCAGAGGATGACCTTTGACACCAGGCTGAAATCCACGTTAAATGTTCTCTGGCCACAGGTCAAAGGTCACACAGCTGAACACTGGACAAAGACATGATGATCAAACTGGTCCCAGCTGGTGGAGACACAGAGACCAGAACTGGTCTGAACTGGTTCTAGTCCCAGACATAGAGATGAACATCTGTCTGAGGACCTTTGACCTTTTAGTATCCATGGGTGTCATCATGTCACATGTCATTTTTCTATCCAATGACAGCACAATGATGTTCCTGTTGCAGATTACGTCTCCTCGTTTCCCAGTAGTGGTGAAAATGGGCCATGCTCACTCAGGAATGGGAAAGGTAGCTAACGCTAACCTGTTGTATCGTTCTTTATTATTCACGTCACACATTGGTGACCGACCTTTGACTGATCGTGTTCTGAGCGCAGGTGAAGGTCGATAATCAATACGACTTCCAAGACATCGCCAGTGTCGTGGCTTTGACCAAGACTTATGCCACAGCCGAGCCCTTTATCGACGCTAAATATGACGTTCGCATCCAGAAGATCGGCAACAACTACAAGGCTTATATGTGAGTCAATATATATTATCGAAAGTCAATATATATGTATGTATTATCAAACACAAAGATCCAGTGTGAAACTGCGAGTGGCGTCTTGTTGCTCTTCGGTTGTGGACAGGCGAACATCGATCTCTGGAAACTGGAAAACCAACACCGGCTCCTCCATGCTGGAGCAGGTGGCCATGTCAGACAAGTAGGTCCAGTAAATGATGACCGGACCACAGCCGGGCTGTAGGTGTGACCGTGACCCCTCACCTCTGTTGGATGTCTTACTGCAGGTACAGGATGTGGGTGGACTCCTGCGCCGACATCTTCGGAGGGTTAGATATCTGTGCTGTGGAGGCGCTGCACGGTAAAGACGGCCAGGACTACATCATAGAGGTCAGGACCACACCCGGTCAGGACAGTGACCTCTGTGTCTGTGTGGACACGTCCACTCACTGATGGGCCTGTGTTTTCAGGTGGACGACTGTTCGATGCCACTGATTGGAGACCAGCAGGACGAAGACCGTGTTCAGATCGCAGAGCTTGTGGTTTCCAAGATGAACCAGACTGTTCCACGCACTCCAAGTTCTTCCACTGTTCGTGCTACAGCAGCACAACCATCACAGGTGCTTCTCAAATAGTGGGGCCAGCCCCC